TTTCGTCTCTCGGTTTTGTTGTTCGGTTGTTTGGCCGTTGTTCCGCAGGATTCTCTCAGGCGACAGGGCAAATATTTGCCATCCCTCGAAAGCTTCTCACATAATTGTGGTGGCGGTCGGCGGCGGTGGTGCAAAATGGCAACAGAGAAGAAAAGCCAGTTCTTGGTTTCAGCTGTCTCTCTATTTCAATCCTTAATCATTCACTATAAATTCTGATCCATCAAAATGCCCCCACTAACATGTATTTGAATGACCTAAAAAAATGTATTATATTGGTATCTGACCCATTTTTATCAATTTTACTCTAAACATTTTTTACAAAAAAATATTTAAATTTTAAGAAATTTTTAGTTTGGTAAATAATTATTATTTATATTTACAATGTACATTTTACATAAATCACATCTTTAATAGTAATAATTATTAATTACAATTAGTTTAATTTTATTATTAGATTTTTTATAATTTTGTTTTTTTACTGAATATAAAAATTTTCTAAATAGTTTTTATCATATTTGTTTGGTTTTTTAAATATACCTTTTTAGCGAAACATATAATATATTTTTTAAAATCCCTTATCCTCCTTAGACCAGTAATTTCCAGATTTCAAGAACATCCTGAATTGAGTCATTTTGGCAGTCGCACTGTGAGTGTTTACGCTTTATAAAATGCAACATTTTCGGCGATGGCAGCATTAGAATCCAGCCTGGCAGTTGGCAAGGCGACAAACTTGCTTTTAGCCCGACTCGAGGCTTTTGGGCAATAAGACGCGTAACGCTTTGTTTGACTTGAATTTATGGTGATGTTTCTTTTTACTTCGCTGCTTTTCCTGGCAAGCCCCCAGCTGACTCATGGCGAAGTGCCTGGAACGGCAGACAGTGTCTGGTTGGTTTGTCTGGCACTTGTTCCAGAAATGTTTTAATTCCTTCGCCTCGACACAATAATTTACACACTCGTGCCGGCTGCTCGGCCATTAAATCCTTGTTTGCCTTGCATTCCGGCCAATAATTATGTTTGCACATTTTATGTAGTCAGCGGCATCCCCTATTAAAATTTATATGACAATTCGTTAGTTTGTTGCTCTGCCATAATAATTCATAGCGGGTATTTTTTATGCTTGTTATTTTATCGCTGAAATGTCTGGAATTCTATTGTAGTTTTGTTTATATTTTTGGGATACTTTTGTTCTTCTTTTGGCTTCTACATATGCCCATCAAAGTTGATTGCTCACTTTTTAGCTGCCGCAAAGCACGTACTAAAATATTCCATCCCGCTGGGACCACAATTTTTATGATTTATCAATATTTCTCGATCATAACTTTTCGCCTTTATATTTTAGTTATATTTATGAAGAGAAGACCACTGAAATTGTGTGCATAATTTTCATAGAATATTTTATAAGAGGTATGGTATTTTATTTGAAGTTAGGAATCAGCTTAAAGAAAAATAGATTATTCTCTTTTGGATATGATAGGAACGATGCAAGATTAATCCAAGTATAATTATTATTTGGTCGTAAAATAAAAAATCCTAAGATTCAGTAAATCTAATACCAACAAAAGAAGAAGCTTAAAATGTTAAACACCATCCCAAATAACTAATTGGGTTATGAACAACTAAGAAGAAAACCTCAACGAATGGACAGCTTAGGAGCTTTATTTATACAATTTTCCAAAGCACAAATCATACAACTAAAACTAAAAACTAAAAACCACCGAGGAATAACCATAACCAGCAGCTTGGAAAAGAAAATGTGGGGTAATCTAAAGAGAATTTTCCATTAACGCACGTGTGCCGGAGTCGAAGGGCAGGAGCTGTTCGGCTTGCCACATTGCAACAAAAAGAATTTGAAGCTCGGTTTGGGAATCTCAGTGAGAGTTGGCATTGGCATGAGGGTTGCGTTGCGTTTTGGGGCGAAAAGCCAGCATCGCAAACTGACTGACAAAACCTCAACGTGCCACTAAAAGCATAATCATGCACTTAACTAAAGCCCAGCCAAAGGATGTTGTAAAGGATGTTCGGTGGGCGGGGGCGTGGGCAGGATGTTTCTCAGGTGCTGAGGTAACGCACGTAGAACTTAAGTCATCATCATATAAATAAAAATTTATGACTTTAAATGTGTTTGTGCGTGAGTCTGTTTGTTTGTTTGCCTGTGGCTCTGTGGTTACTGGAGTGCAATGGAAAACCCCAGTCATGGTTTATCACCGGTGAGAAGTTGGGGTTCCCGAGTGGAGAGGGGCCGTGACGACATGCGTGACTTTATTTGCACTTGCACCTGCTGAAAGGTTGATTTAAAAGTGGTTTGATAACCGGTGGAAGTTCCGTAAAGAAAGCACAGAATGCTTTGAAAAATTATAAATGTTTAAGCGTTTAAATCCATAAAAAATAGGATAAAGAAAATTCATTTAATTAGTTTTTAAAAAATGTGCTGAACAAATAACCAAAACTCTGATCTTCCTCAACATATCTACGCCATTAAAATGATATAACTATTTTGAACGATCTCTGACCTTTTCTTTCTGTTTGTGGGTCTTAGCCATGTTCAATGTTCATCATAAAATATATTTAAATTGCTCTCCCTTTTTATACCCTTGTAGAGGGTATTATAATTTCAGTCAGATGTTTGCAACGCAGTGAAGGAGACGTTTCCGACCACATAAAGTATATATATTCTTGATCAGCACCAATAGCCGAGTCTATCTAGCCATGTCCGTCTGTCCGTCTGTCCGTCTGTCCGTCTGTCCGCTGTCCGTCTGTCCGTCTGTCCGTCTGTCCGTTTCTATGCGAACTAGTCTCTCAGTTTTAAAGCTATCGCGATGAAACTTTCCCGAAGGTCTTCTTTCTATTGCAGGTAGTACATATGTCGGAGCCAGCCGGATCGGACCACTATATCTTAAGGCTCCCAATCAAATATAAGAAAATTCATTGTAACTTTGTAGGAAGTAGGCGTTTTGATTCTTGACTACTTAAAAACAAAATTGAAATAAATCGAAACGCTGAATCTGGAATCCCTGGAACTGCACCGAGTGAGTATTCTTTTATCTACAAGGGTATATAAGCTTCGGCTGGCCGAAGGTAGCTTCCTTTCTTGTTTCCAACTGCAAGAGAAGAAGAAAACCCAAGTAATGAAGAAAAATTCAGCGAAATGCCTATTAAAATTGTGCCTTTCCAGCTTTCCATCGCCGTTGATGACCTCCTAAGTGTTCCTAATCACACATAATATTCATGGCAAACATCTCGGAGCTGACGAGTTTCTGCACAATTATGACAACAGACAGCTTTTACTTTCCCGTACTTAGACATATACCCGAATGTAAATTTCAGTTCCACGAGGGGCCCTGGTAATGCGAGAAACTAACAACGGAAAGCCGCTTGCCCGGCTACTTTTCAAGTTAAAGTTATTATCCTTGGGGCGGAGCCACTTGCAGGACTCTTCGGCCCCGCCCCCTCGCCAGACTTGACAAAACTCGGCAGACTTTTGAATAAATTTCCAATCTCCGGGACAACAACGAGGAAGGCGACGGCGAAGGGCAGGGTGGAAATCAGCATTATGAATATGTAGCTACATCTTCTTAAATGTATCTGCCTGTTGTTCGTGTTGTTGGCTAAGTGAAAAGCCAAAGCCGAGTTGCGCCTGCAACATTTTTAAAAGCCGCTTTACTTTCCCTCTAAGACGGCAACTTTATTACATTTTTTTCTATTCTTTTTTTTTTTTTTGGCCAGGCCAGCAAAACTTTCTTTAGCTGCAGCCAACAGGGGAATACAAAAAAAAAATAACTATCCAAAATAGAATGGAAAGTTCTCTGGCTTTCGTCTTCTTGCACTTCTTGTTTGGCTTGACGTTGGCTGTTAAATGCTTTTAGCCGCTTTTCGTTGCCAACTTTTGGGCCAGAAGTTACGCTCGAAATGGCAAGCGATTTTGGTACTTTTCCGAAATATGATTTAATTTCGGCTGATTTCGTGATAGGGACTTCGCAAAATAATTAAGCCACTAAACAGCTGATAACAAATCCCCAATTAAACCGAGGACAATTAATTTTAATGCCTCTAAGACGGAGAATTGTCTTTGGGCCGATAAAATGCGGCCAAGAACGAAGTGCGACCATTTCTCTTTGTGGTCAACCGCCATTAACGTTTATTACACCCACCGAGTGCCGGCAAAAACCAAAGAGCACATGCAGAAAAACAAAAGGAGAGACGGGGCAAAAACAGCGATGGGCGAAAAAATATAATTAAAAATAAACATTACGCGGCGACAGACAATGGAGGGAAAAGGCAAAGAAAATTCACAATCCAAAAGGAGGTCGGCCAAAAAAAGCGAAGAAATGTGTAATAAAACGAAGGCAGCAGCAGGAGCCAGGTGAAAATTGCATTAGTCCGAAGGAGAGAGACAAAGGAGCGAGGGTCTTTTGTGCAGCAGCATTTTAGGCGCTTAATTGAGCGTTTTAGTTATGCTAATTGTTTGCCAGCAGCAACAAGGACAACAAAAGCACAGGCTAATGTCCTCTCGGGTCCCCAATTCCGGCTCACATTTATTGCCGGCCATTTGTTATAAGTGCAGGCACCGAGATCATTAAAGCCAGGGGCTATTGGCCATCTTGGACTCGGAGGCTAACAAATGTGGACCAATTTATTATGTTATTGTGCGGAAAAAAGAGATGATGAAGGTTTTTGGAGCGAGCTCTTATTAAGGTGGCAATTAAGTGGCGATTCGGGGAACACAACATTTGTTTTTTTTACGAGATGCTGGGATCTGTGAGTTAATTTTCTGAAAAAATAGTTTTCCTTAAAATAAAACACCCCGTTTATTTTTCTCGCTTTTGGTTTCTTTTTTATTTTGATTATCTACCGTAAATTCTTATATCATACATGTCTCGATCTTTTTGGTTTTCGTTTCTTTTTTGTAATATATACAAGTACAATACATATATACTTTTACATATATAGGCCATATTTAGACTTACGATCTAATTGCTTACTTTTGCCCTACCTTTTGTGTCTTTTGGGGCTTTTCTTTGGGGGCAAATACATTTAGGCGTAGTATGTTTATATATATATATCTTTTTGTTTTTATTTAGAACATATACATATATATATAAATATCATTTATACGATTTATAAATAATCTTGACTTTGTTATATAAATGTATAGAGAACCTAAAGTTAAAAGCTTAGCACAACATTTTCATTTGCTTTGTAAAATGAACCTTGGAGTTGGCGCAGAGGTTTCGAAATGTACTTAAAAATGGATTAAAGAATTTAAATACTCGAAAGCTGCTAAATTTGTAAGCCTCATGCCGAACTCCGCGTTAGGAGAAGTTGAACAAATAGATATCGTTGCATTAATGATGAACTAGCGTATCTTGTCCTTGTATCTTTTGTATTCCTTCCTTAAATGCATTTGAAGTTACTTTGAGCTAGCTGAAACGAGTGTCTGGTGTGTTAGTGTAAGTACTTTAGATACATCCTGCAGTTGCTTCTGGGTCTTGGCCTTGGGCTGAACTCCTCCCCACATGTCGCACGTCGCACATCCCCTAACTATAGCTATTTAGCTGGACACCACTTTAATTTCTACCCCTGAAGTGTGGCACTGGAGTTGTGTGGCAATTGAATCATGTTAATTGCCTGATGCATCTGCTGTTGCTCCTGCCGATGCCGCATACACATTCCGATCCGGTTCCTTTCCAGCTGCATTTCGACACCCGCAGGCAGGACTTGTGAAGCTGCTGCTCCTGCTCCTCGTGCTTCTGCCTTTGCTTTGTTGCGATGACCCGCATTCCAACGGCTCTTGTCCGCCGGATTGTGCACCTTCCGCTCGTGTTGCACGCTGCACCGCCGGCCTTTGTCATCATCGCCTGCAACGGCGACACTAATTGCCTGGCCAGCGTCCAGCTGAGCACCGCCATCAGCGATCCACCGACCATCCACCGGGATTGACTTGGATTCGGGGGGTAACGGGCGCTGGAGCTGGACGAACCGGCGCCTCGCCAGGCGGCCCCTCCGTCCCCCAGTCCGCCCTCCGAGCCGTCGTCTTCTTCGCCTGAGGGTACAAAATGATAGGAAAGAAATTCTAGCGAGAAATAGAAAGAAATGCAGACAGAAATGCAGGCCATGTATTCGATGTATTCTGGTACTTCTTCCTTTTGACTACAGCCGAACTTGGGTAACTCAAACCTAATATGTAACTTAAGGCGAACTTGTGAAGTGGGAACATGTACTCTTTATTCTGATTAAAGAAGCTAAGATTAAATAATAATTCTATTATCAAGCCAAGAAGAAATTTAAAAAGATATTTTTTGAAATGAGTTAACAAGATTTATAAGACAACAATTTCATCTTTATTTTGCTAGAATTACGAAATCTATTCACAAATTAAATTCTAAAATGTTGTAAAACATTTTTTTTAGCATAAACTAGAATTAGAGATGAGTTGAAGCTATCAAAGTTCGACTGTAGTCCCATATTGGAATTTTCTTCTTTTTTTTTTGAAGTGCTTGTGTTTTGTGTTTTGGGAAAATAATTGGCTGCTGAACTCACCCTGTAGCTGTGTCAGATAGCTGTTCTTTTTGTTTTGCAAATGGTCCTCGTGCAGAGCGTATTGGTCATAGAAATCGTCGGGATTGACATGATTTCCATTCGCCACGTTTCCGTGTTTGGCAAACAGATCCGCTTCGAGGACGATTTTCTCGGTGGTTTTCCAATAGACGTCGTGCAACTGGGCACTGCAGCGCAGCTGTTTAAAAGGATATTTGGTAATAAAATATTTAGTCGGTGAGTTGGTAATCCAACTCACTTTGAGTTTGCCATTATCGAAGTGCTGATCCGTGACCACAAAGTGAATGCCCACAATGGCGGTTTCCATGTCGTTGCGGGAATCTCGAATGATTTTATGATGACGCACGAGGGCGGGATTAACCTGGAAGATTGGGTATTCGTATTGATTACGATGTAGAAATTTATGGAAATAGGTAATTTTTTGGGTCAGGTCATTGAAGGATATTGCAGCAAGAACTTCTTTTTAAAATGTTTCACTCTGAAATCGTTTTTATAGCTCCCTACGAAAAATTTGTGATATGGTAATGGGATTCGCCTACAGCTGTCCAGGTTTTTGAAAGCCATTATCTTTGACGAGTTTTGCGCCTCTTGAAACTGAAACTGTGACTTTGATTGACTGTCTGGCTGCCAATAAGTTTGCCCCAAATGGTTCGTTTTCACTTTAAAATCGCCCAGCAATCGGAGATATTTCTTTTTGTGTCAAACTTCAGCATGTTGCAGTTGTTTCGCGTTTATTTAGCTGGTTTGTTGCCTGGTTTTGGCGGTATGTCTTTGTTGGCTTATTGTTTAAGCGCATTTTGTGGCCAACAAAAGGGGGGTGATTGGGGAGGGGTTTTGGGAAATAGAGAGGGCTCGAGCCTCGCACATCCAATCAACCGAGCGTGGCCAACTCAACTCAATTCGACAACCGGTTCGGCGGCATTCGCTTTTCCATTCAACCATCGCCATATTGTGGTCTGTGTAGGTGTGGGGCTTAACGTGCGTCTGTGTGAGTGTGTGTGCTTTGCACATGTATGAGTTAGCCTTGTTTTCCCAACCGCCTGTTACCCATTTTCCCGTTTCCGCAGTGGCACCTATGTATGTATTATGCAGCATCAATAAGCATTGTTTTCCGTTGAGCGATGCTGAAACTATCGCTGTCTCACTCTGCGGCCTCTCCCCCTCCCTCTCACACTCCTTTCCGATTGCTTGGTCAATGTAAGTTCACTATATAGCTCTTATTATTAAATATCGTTCATGCTTTAGCTCCGTTTTGATCTACATTTAGACCCTTGAAATTTTCATTACACACTCGGTAAATCAAAAATTATATTAATAATAATATTCATTGAATATTAATAATTTGCATGCCTTGAAGTTTTAATTAGACATTCGGTAAATCATAAATTACATTTATAATAATATTCAATGGAATATTCGATTATCAAAACTGGCAAATATCAAAATACCTAATTATGTGAGTAATGTTCACATTAATAATTTTCCAGACGTCTTAGAAATGTGCTTTCCTTCTGAACTTAGCTTTTATGGAAACTAATGGATCACATTTCATTTTTGTTCAACTAGGTCTATTATTCTTGCCTAACTCGTTTCTAATTGAGTAGGCGTAGGCCCCCTACAAGTTCCAAAAGTAATTGAGAAATGTAATATGCAAATCGCTGAAAATTGTCCCGCTCTCTCCAAAGAGCTTTCAACTGCCTCTTCATTTTGCACATTTTCCAGAATCATTTCCATTTCTCTCCCAACTACCTACACAGGATATGGATATGGTTAGTGCTTCAACAAAAAATTACACCTAAATTCTGATGCTCCCGGAATTTGGGCGGGAATTATAATGTGGGTTTGTGCAAGGGGGCGTGTCGCCATTGCGTTGATCTGCACGAATGCGTGTGTTTTTCTGGTAATTACAGGGGGGACGGGGACCTTAAACCCCTTCCGATCCCCATTACCACTCCCGAAAAAGCAGACGCATAAATTCCCGACAGATGCCAACGCTAGAAAACAAGAATATTGCGTTTGCATAATTTTGGGCGCAAACCAGGGGCGTTGTTGGGTAGGTGGAGGTGGAGGTGTACCCAAAAGGGGGGGTTGGCACTCACCTCTTCATTATTCACTGTCCATGTGAGATTGGCCGCCGGCCGCGAGTGTCGCGATGTGCAATTACCTCGCAATATGTCGCCGACCCGATATCGAGGTCGTATTCCCGTTATGAATGGCGCATTGTGCGGCGTTTCTGCAAGGAAAAAGGACGAAAAGGGGGCGGTGAAAATGGTGAAAATGGCGAAAATGAGATGGCATCAACATCAGCATCGGTTCAGAGGTAAACCGGATCGATTGTCACTATATTTTTGATACTCTGCGGCATTCGGAAAACCAAAGTCCGGGCCGAACATCGGACCCAACCTGTCGTCCTGTCAATTCTGATTTCCAAGTGGGTGTGTGTTTTGCGTGAGTGTGTTTGTGTGAGTGGTGCAATCAATATCCGACAGCTGTGTGAGTGAGGCCCATTTCATAATTGAAATAATTACGAACTCTCCAGGTCGGCAGAGTTGGAATTTTAATTTCGTGCTGTGAGGAGACCCAAAGCAACCGTTCAAAAAATTTAATGGTAAATTTATGTAAAATTCTAGCTATTTCAATTTTTTAACTATATTTCTATGTATGTGAAAATAAGAAACCCTTTTAAAATCTGTTCCAGTTTATGTTACTTTATTAAGGCAAAGATGAAATTTAATTTTTGCTATATTGTATTTAAGAAAATTTCAATATTTTTCAATATTTTTCATTCTCGATATCTTCAAAAATTCTAATTCCTCCTGCTGTCCATTATCCTTGAAAGTCAGAATGGAAACCAGCAGACACATATCCGCATACATGTGACATACAAACATGAAATAGACACTTTCAAAAGTTTGTCAAGCCAATTTGAGCTCACCTACGTCAACATACAACCCACACAGTTTATTGACCGTCTCCATTGGCATTGGCAAAATGTTTGCTCCCAGGACCCTCACTTTGTTTGCCGGCTTAAATGTCTTCATCTTTATCTCGTTTACCCTCAAATTTGTTTGTATTTTGTCTGCTTAACTGCCAAAACATTCGAACTTGGAGTTTATTTTTAAGTTTTATGTCCACAATCCGCACACAAGTATTTCGACTGAGTCTGTCTGGTGGGAGGACGACTTCCAATTGGCCTGGCCAATTGAATACGACAGTTGGTCAAGTTGGCAAGTTTGTCTCTGTCTTTGACTCCTCGCCCCGGGGTAAGCTTAACTTTTCTGGCCTTGTTTTTTTGTGTGGGCAAGAAAAATACTCAAACTGAAAATTAATTTAGTTTCGAATATACACTTTTTGAAGATCGAAATTAGTTTAATATTTGCACTCAAACTCTTAAAGTGGCTCACTTACTGGTCGATTCTTTAACCAAATTTACCATAAATTCCCCAGATTCAGAAATGCGAATTTATTTTTCTTACTTATTTTTATCCTACTGGTTTTTTTACTTACCAATAACTTCCAACTCTGCTGCCGCTATTAATGTATGAAATGAGGGCGCATCCGCCGATACTTCGCAACTGTATTTACCGGATGTAGCCATTGTCACCGCATCGAGCACCACTTGGCTCTCGTTCGAGGATACGCGCTGCAAAAGAGTTAACAAAAGTGCAGGTGAGTGAAATAAAAGGAGTGTTTTTATAACCGTCCAGAGCTTACATATACCCATATTTATTTATACATATCGCTCTTGTTGGCCTGATGAAAAATTTCAACAAACGTATCTGTATCTCGTTGGATTACTTCCGCTTTCCATACATGTGTATTCTTTTTACTCATATTTAATGCGGGCTTTCAATAATTGAGGCATAGGTTTATTTTTCGCTTCTGGCATTACATGTATTTTTTATTAATTTCCTACTGCCTCCCATTAATTTATAATAATCTTACGAATATTTGTGCCTCCTAATCTGAGTTAATAAAATAAATAGTTCTTTAAATGTGTATGCCCTCGCAACGATCTAAAATCGCTTTCAATATTTTGACAGCATTTTCGACAGTACATTGTGTACATCCGCTATTTTTATATTTTCTTTCTCTATTGGCGGCAAACAATTCTATTCTGCTAGTATTTTCACCATGTTCAAATGAAAAGAATGCCGCTTTCTCGTTCTTTTTGTCACACGAGTTGGAAACAGAAATTTGAATGAAAAATACGAAATACACACAGAAGCAGTAAGCAAATAAATAAAATGCCAACGTGTTTTTTCTATACGCCTGAATAATTTTCAAACCAATTTAAAAATGCCAATATTTATTGAAAAATATTGCCCAGCAACGTCGAACGCATTTTGAAACTAAAAAACGAAGCCCAAGATCCGAATGGGAATCGAAAAGTTCGGCACACGTGTGCGGCATTCTGTTTTTCCGGCTCCTAACTGCCATGAAGCGGAAGTTAAAAACCGTGTTTTGATTTGATTGCGCATCGAAATTTCACATGTGCCTGCCCCTCCTTGTTAACTGTAGCGTTTCGTTCGATTCGAATGCCCTGGAAATGCAAATGTTTTACATTGTTAAAGCCGCAACCCGTTTAGTTTAGTTTAATTTATTTGGCTTCGATTTTTGCTCTTGTTCCGTTCTCCGTTTTATTGGCTTTCCAAATGGCGGGGGAGAAGTAAAATAAAAATTTATCTGGCTATAATACAGTTTACCTCGCCAGATTTATTGGAATATACGATATGTGTTGGCTAACAAACGAAGAGGTGTGATGCAGAAATCGACAAATTGTTAAAACATAACTTATTAAAATATTAAACAACGTTCTATTGTAATTTTTCTTTGAGTTATTAGAAGTAATGCTAATAATTTTATATTTTAAGTAATTAATTTGATAAAAATAGTCTTAAACTTACTTTCACTTTGACGCCTGGGAAGTGAAAGACCTTCATGGGCGGCGTTTCCTTTGGGGTGTACCGATAGAACTCCCGCCTGCCCTTATACCATTTCACCGAGTATAGGCTGTCGTCTTCGATGTCGTAGAAGCACTTCAGGATGGCCTTCTCGCTGCGCCTCACCGCGTGCGGGACTCGAACCCGGACATCTCTCAAAGCCTCGGCCAGCTCTGGAATGAAACAATAACAATAACACGGCAAATCAGAAAAATAATCCACCGACAATTATATTTAATTATTTAAAGCTGCCATGCTGTCGGCGCAAAGGGACTAAACAAACAAATCCCGCGGGCCGTGCCTAATAGAAATCAACTGGAGGCTATAAAAACTCATCGCGTTTCGCATTTTTAATTCGCTGTTTGCTTTTATTTTATTATCATTTTAATTTTTTTTGTCTCGTTTCGCCGGCTGCTGCTCTGTTTCTTCGCTTTGGTTTACGGCGTTGTGCATAATTTATTACGGACATTTTGTGTGGAATTTTTATTAAATAAATCCCAAACGGATTTTATTGACTCGACAATTCCCACGATATTTTAGATGGCCTTTTACCCTTTCGAGTGAAATGTGTACTGAATTTAACCTGTAATTTGTCATAAATATGTCAATGAAATTATCTTTATAAAGTATTTATATATTCTTTGATCTCGCATTAGTATTAAAAAATAACTATAAATATTTACTTATATTTAAAAAATGAAGTAAAATCCATTTTAAATTGATTTTTAATTTGAAAGAGTAATAAGATATCGACTATTCCACATTGAAATTTAGGAATTTTAATATCTAGTCTGATCACGTATTGACATGGCTTTCGGCATGCCACAAATCTCTAACTGACTGAACACTCACATGCCCATATGCCCGCACATACATATTTATAAATACATGTATGTATTTTCAGGATTCCTCTGACATTTGTACGTATGGCTGATTTCCTGTTTTACTGCCATGCAATTTTTTCCTTCGTCCCGGCTTGGCATTATAAATCAGCTTATAATAGGCAAAGGGCAAAAATACCCTTCCACCTGTTTGCATTTATTGTTTTTCCCCAATAAAATATGAATAAATTGTTGCCTGATTATGTGAGATGAAATTAAAAATGATTTTATCCGCATGTCGTAAAAAATGTAACGCTGCCGAAAGGCCATCAAACATTTGTCACACATTTATGAGTTCGGCGGGAATGAAATATTTATTTTTAAAGGTTTTAAAAAGAAGTCTTATGAGATTATATTTTGTTGCTGTTGAATTTTAAAACCAATTGTATTTGGGCTTTGTATTTGTAAATAATGCGCTAATAGTCATATTAAATTATTATTCATTCCCTATTATTATTATTCCCTATAATAACTGTCATAGCCCAAGGGTCTCACTTCTAACCAATTGGATTGCCCTTGAGAAGCACTCTACCTATGTTCCCACAATGTTGCCATTAAAAAGCGATTTCCCCCGACTGCAACTCAATTCCATTTCATTAGGTTAGTCTTTCCGGTTGTTCCTCTGTCATTTAGCGCCTTCCGCCTTCTGTGGCTTCCATTTCAAGCCACACTAAATAGACAAGGTTGCAACAATCCGGCAACAAATGAATGTCCAAACAGGCCAAGCACGACTGTGTGGGAGGTGCTTTGTAAATCCCATCAAATAACTGTAATTGCAAAGTTTTTACAGCCAGACACGAGGAGCACGCCTATGAGGCGAGGGCCCCAAAGCCCGATCCTCAGCAAGGACAATGCACATGCAACCCGGCCATTTGTCGACAGAGGAGAGTAGAACAGGGAGGGTGTCCCGCAGGACTCCTCCAGAGGAGGCGGAACCACTACGTCCCCCACAACGTGTGCAATAAATATGAATAACGAGCACAACGTGAGTGGCACACAAAGTAAAAACGAGACCGCACTCGACTCGCTGTGGCAGTGAAAAGGCAGATTCAGCAGGCCATCCTGCTGGTTCCTTGCTCCTGGCCCCCACACCCTACTACAAATCCTTGGAGACCATCCAACCTCATTGTTGGCGACACGCGGCGACAAATATTTGCCTCTGCCGCTGCCTTTTGTTTAAATCTTGTTTATGCAACATGCATGGCATATATTAAGAAGTGCCGGGCAGACTCGAGTGTCAAGCAAATGTCCAGCAGCGCTCTGATTTACACCCAGGCCACCAGATGACTAGATGACCAGATGGGAGGATTTCCACTTCGGCTAACAGATTGCTCTGCTCCAAAAAAATATAGATTCTACATGTATTTTCCTTTTTTTATAAGGAAAAGTTAAAATGTATGGATAGTCTTATTTAAAAAACGAGGACGGAAGCTAACTTCGGCAAGCCGAAGTTTTAATACCCTTGCAGATTTCACTAATGAAAACTTGACTAAAATAGCAAATTGAATTAATAAACAGCAAAATATTCTATAATTGAAAAAAATAAAAATTTTTAATTTTTCACCCTATTGTTCCTATGGGAGCTATATGATATAGACGTCCGATCGGCACGCGCTTTTACCCTGATCAAGGTACGCACAAAAAAATACGATTTGGAAAGTTTCATGGGAATAGCTTATATTTTGCGCGAAATATCCTGAAAAACGTCAAATTTTGACCGATTTCACCCTATTGTTCCTATGGGAGCTATAAGATATAGACGTCCGATCGGCACGCGCTTTTACCCTGATCAAGGTATGCGTAAAAGAATAAGATTCATGTCAAAAGCTTTTACACTGAGCGAAATATCTTTATTTTGTGAAAGCTATATCCGATTGTTCCTATGGGAGCTATAGGATATAGACGTCCGATCGGGTCGGCTTTCAAACTTGATCTGCGTACACATGTTTTAGGACGACTGTGAAAGTTTCAAGGCGCTAGCTTTTAAACTGAGCTCGCAAACGGTATTGAAACAGACGGACAGACGGACATGGCTATATCGACTCCCCTATTGATCCTGATCAAGAATATATATACTTTATGGGGTCGGAAACGTCTCCTTCACTGCGTTACAAACTTCTGACCAAAATTATAATACCCTCTGCAAGGGTATAATAATTAATTTTAAAGTCAATGCTAAGCTAAGTTAAAATAATTTGTATTCAATTTTGCGACACCTGAAAAAAAGATATTATTTATGTAACTCTCGATTAATATACTCTTGCTCAGCTAGACTTAATTTTTCTTTTTCTTCACCTCTGACACTTTTGGGCAGTTATGTTGACCCTTGTTGAAAATAAATTTAATTTTTACCTTAGGCTATTCCATCAGAACTCCTACACACAAAAAAATTTGCTTGGTAAAATTGATTAACAAAGATAGTTACGTAACTATTAAAATAGTAACGTGTATTTTGTTTTTGCTTTGGGTTTGTGTCTTTGCTAATTGTGTGTATTTTGTTGTTGTGAAATGACTATTTACTTAGTAGAATTGACAATTTTGCTGGTTGGGGCCTGTTTGACAATTATTACAGTTGATTTTACCAAGTTTTTTTTTTGTGTGTAGCTGCTGAAATTATGACACTTTCTGTCAAAGCATATTTCGGAAACTTACGGCGGGCTAATTGAAAAGAGTAAAACTATAGGGGAGCAAACTGAAAAGTTTGGCCAGAACTGTGACCGAAACTAGCACATAATTTCCCTTCCACATGAACTCCTGGCCAAGAGCAGCGTTTGGCTGACTGACCACATAGTGTACACCGAAAACGAGGGAGCTGGCTGGAAGGAACTATGAGTTTCTTGGCCAAGTGGAAACTTTGCAAAGTACAAGTTTATGGAGCTTGGCTTTTGAGTTACACTTACACTTATGCAACAGATGGGCCAAGACTGCCAACTGGCATTTTAATTTTCTATTAGCCGGAAAGTTGAAGTTAGCCGTACTCAGCACTTAGCCCCCAACACAACCTTTAAAATACCAGGGGATATCTGGCGCCAAATCCATCATAATTTGAGCTGACGTTAAAAATGTAAATTCCCTGTAACCCAATACCATTCGTTTTAGACCCCATCGAGCACTATTAGTGCCCCGCCATTGTGAAGTCATTATTCAGTCAGATTTGATTGCCATCTGGGGTTATCAGCCTGCGCTCTGCAGAAACAGGGGGAGGTTTATTCAGACGCCAACGCGTCGGGGATGCTTCGTCCTTTGGGGGTGGCTTGAAAAATTGTTGACAATTTCAGCTTAATGCATTTTTATGTCACTTCTTCTGGTTTAGCGAAAATGAATGCTCCTGCTGTTGTTGTTTGTCCTGCACAAACACAAACACAGACCCACTCCGTCAGTCACAAACACATGAGCTGTGGTCCTTGCATTCGCAGAACCACCAATTCGGCGGACCAAGTCGCCTCTTCCTTTTCCCGGATCGCTGGAGCCATAGCCATTCATTCAGCGAGGACTCTGAGTCTGATTCCCAGTCTGTCCTTTGTGTTGATTATGAAATTTAAGCACAAAAACCCCTGACAGTCTGGCTTCGGGCCCTCCCCCTCTTTGTTTACCCTTAAAGAGTTGGCTCCTTGGTGTTTGCCTTTTAATGGCACATTTTCCACTTTTCGACTGGCTTTCCAGGGGGTTGCAACATTACAATTTAATGCCTTCCGCTCTGTAATTGCGAACAGATTGGTGGAACGGCATACTGTTAAAGATATTTGATTTCTATCAATCTTGGGAATATTAAGCTCTTTAAAGCCCAAATCTTAGAATCAAAAGGCCATAAGAAATCCAACAAGTTCCTAACAGTGCAAAACCCAAAGCCAACTTAACATCCTTGGCCATTTATTTAAAAACTAAATAAGACAAGCATCGCTAAATCGCCAACTAAGCTCATAAAATCCCACGAACAAGTGCCCGAGTGTAAAGCAACGTGGGAAATGTTCAAGTAGGAGAAAAAAAGCATGAAGGCAGAATAGATAGTTGGGTGTTTGGTGGAAAGCGGGGAGTTTGTGGGGTGAAAAGCTATGAAAAAGTGCAAGGATCAAACAACTGAGGGAGGTTGGGCTCACATAGCCGGGCTAAATAATAAAAGAAAATAGGAAGAAGAGCAAAAAATGCTTGCTAGCCTCTGGAATGAGTCAAAAAACGAAAGGACCCGCGCTTCATGTGGTGTCTGGTCTCCTTTTAGGACCTACAAACCCTCGACTCTCGTTTCTAATCCAACACTGGAAATTGTGCAGGAATTTGTTGCAATGAGCTTTTTA